TTTTTGGGGTTTTTTTTACATTTCTTTATACAGTATGTGACTTTTATTTTATTTTTTACTTTTTTTTTACTTTTTTTTTTACACTTAATGTTATTGCTATCACCAGGGCTTGAACCCCTAATGCCACCTGGGGACCCCCCAAAGAAGCTGATGAAGCAGAGATCTGCTTCATCAGCTTCCTCTCTGGCTAAGGCAGCTAGAGGAATGACAGCTGAATGCGGAAGTGATGTAATACACATCATTTCCACATTCAGACGTCGGAGGGATCAATCAAGGAGGATCTCCCTCCCATCTTCCTCCTGACACCCAGCCGATCGCTTGTATGTGTAACAGCCGGTAACAGCTGTTTCCATTCCACTGTTTTTTTCTTTATTGCCGCTCCCTAGACAAACGGAGCGGTTAACCCTTGCAGTGCGGGGGTAGCCCCACTGCAAGGGTTAAGTTTTCAAAATCCAGAGTTCCATTTTAAGCTATTGAGCTCTGTAAACACAGGGTTTTTGCAACAGAGGAAAAGGAGCCAAGTTCTGCACCAGCTGGCTGCATTGAACATACACACTATTCATTTACTACATTTCCTATTTAAGTGACAGAAAGAAAGGAAAACGCTTTTGTAGAACTATTATTTTTGAAATATGGGAAATTAATTCAAAAAAGGCATCAAACTAACTATTTCAGTCCTTTATAAATCAGCATGTAAAAGAATTTCAGTCATGTGCAGGAATTTTGTGATTGCTTTCATTTGATTTATGTAGGTTAGTTGATCTTTATTTTAGTTCAAACCTCTAAAAATAAATAAATTAGGGATGCACCAAAATTTTGACTGAATATTATACTATGGGCAAAATGTCAATAGTACAAAAACGACAGAAAATTTGGTGCATCCCCAGCCTCTCTCTACCCCACTAGGCGCTGGCTGCAAGTTTCCGACTGTGTCCCCTCCAATCCCCCACTGCTCTCCCCCGCCTGTGTCAGCAGAGGCAGTGGGGATCGAAGGGGACACAGAACCGATCCACCTGCTGGCTTCCAGAGCGGAGGAGAAATCTGTCAGGAGGCCAAGCAGGGCAGAGGCAGGAGGGAGGGAATGGAGCTTCAGGATTGGTAAATATTGTAAATATTTACCGATCTTTCACTGAACTGAGCAAACACTGGGGGATCAGTGCTGATCACTCAGTGTTTGTAAATGACTGTGGACATAGTGATTCAGAAATGAATGAACAGGAAGTGCTATACATCACTTCCTTTTCATTTGTGAATGGGGACATAGTAAATATTTACTATCTGCTCACTTTATGAATGAACAGGAAGCAGCTCAGTACAGAGGCTTCCTGTCTATTCATGGCTGGGTTGATAGTAAATATTTACTATATCCAGATTGTGAATGAACAGGAAGCCTCTGTACTTAGAACTTCCAGTTAATTGAGTGCTGGGGCTGAGATTAAGGACTCTGTGTTCTCAATCTCTTTTTCTATTTTAAAAGCGAAAAATCAGGGGTCTGTTTTTCCCCTGATGTTTCCCCAAAGCCCCTAACAGTACAGTAAAAAAAAAATTAAATAAATTAAATAAAAAATAGTTTGAAAAAAATCTAAAAAAGGTTTGAAAAAAAGTCATCTTTGGTTTCGGTCTGGCAAATTTTTAAATTTGGTTTCGGTCTAAAAATTCCATTTCGGTGCATCCCTAAAATACATTGAAAAAAAAATTAGACAGTATTAACCTCCGTCTGTTCTTGATCGGAATTTATATCAAGTTTGAAAACAGCAAACATGTCGGCACTGGTAAAATATTTCTAATCATGTCTGAATTTTGCAAATTATTCAAAGTAAATTAATAAAAAATTGATGCGTGCGAGGCCTGCTTATGTTTAAATAAACATCAAAGGAGAGATTTAATGGGCTTTTAGTACCCAGTGGACACAGAAAGCATCATTCATGAATCATAAGGGGTTCGGGTAAAGTACACAGAACAACGAATTTGTTTGTTTTCTGCATAATTAAAAGATAGTCCACAAGGTTTTGGGATGGCCTTCAATCTAAGAGGAACAATCATTTACACATTTGCATTAACTCATGAAAGTATGAATGGTGGAAAGGTTAAAATGACCGCTTCAAACTCAGATCTAATGGCACTTCAGGATATCCCTTGTCATGAAATTTATGTTTTCTGCTTTTGACCTAAAATAATGCTCAGTCCCACCTAATTTGTGCCTGAATTATTCATGTGAATCTGCCATTAGGACTGAATTATTCATAAGAGTGAGGAGACATTCTTATTGTTTTTATTACTTGGGGGGGGGAAGTGCGAAATGAATGTCCCTACATAACTGACAGGTTTCCAAAAAAACAAAAACTTTTCATTAATATCATAAAAGATCATCAAAGAAATATCTATATAAATTTTTAGGTTTATCTACAGACAAAGCTTTTTTTTATTTTAGTTTTGGATAGAGCGGGGAAGGATTAGAACTTCTGAAAGGTTTAATTGCTGTTGGTGGCTTATTTGGAAAGATTTCTTAATTTCCTCTCTGGCAAAAAGGTTGTTTCTAGGACAGGAGGCAAGGGACGGCAATACAGACTGAAGTATTTTTTTAAATTTAAAGTGACACTAAACTCAGGAGTTAAACCTTAAAGTGCATTCAAATATCATAACTATTAACAAAAATGTATCTTATTTGTGTATCACTCAGCTGTAGATCCTCAAATCATCTCTGAATTGGTGCTGATACTGTCCTTTCTTCTGGAGGGTGGTTACTTTTGTTCCCCATGGTCCTTGTGTGTGTTGTTAAATAGTCACCACTCCATGCCTGCTCCCATGATGTACTAAAATCTAAATACAAATTAGTAAACTAAACATGAGGTTGTAGTCCATCACAGGAGTGAGCTTGGATCGGTGTCTACAACATACACCGGGGCCATGTGGAACAAAAGTAGCCACCCTCCAGAAGGAAGGACAGTGTCAGCACCAATACAGACATGATTTGAGGATCTACAGCTGAGCGATACACAAATAAGATAGATTTTGTTAATAGTTAAGGCACTTGAATGTATTTTTAAGATTTAACTCCTGAGTTTAGTGTCACTTTAAATAGGGAAATTCTAGAGCCTCTGTCAGCGTTTTATTGTGATATGTTTCAGTGTTGCAGATTTTCCCTCACTTCCTGTCCAGTAAAAGGTTGTCCCCAGAAAAGAAAGTAAGGGGAAATCTCATAACATAACATAGCCCCAGATAGCAGTAAATCCTGACAGGAGATCTAACTTTTGACCATTGTATCCAAAACTAAAACAAAAGTTTTTGGTATAGACACACTTCAAATTTGGAGAAGAAATGTTGAGAGAGAGAGAGAGAAACTTTTTGCAAAGTCGTGGGTTTACTTACTGTCTAGACCCTTTGTTCTCAACTGGTGGGTCGTGACCCAAAAGTGGGGCGCGAACCCCGTGTTCAGTGGGTCACCGCATGCCTTCCACTTTTCTAGGTGACTGTTCTAGCACTGTCTGTTCTCGCGCCAAGCAGCCTTTAAGTTGGGATGGGGCTGTGGCCACGAGGGAGCTCCATCCATATGTGCATTGCTTACAGCTCCCTCACGTGTTCCATAGAAGTGCCTGGACCGGAGTGACATCACATTCTGGTTTTTGGCACCTCTACCGGGCACGCAAAGGAGCTGTGCCAGTAATGCATGTATGGATGGAGCTCTGTCACAGCACAGCAGCCCACACTGGACCCCAGGCTGAGGATCCACTTCAGTTCTTGTAAGGTAGGGAGACTGGGTGGACCTTAAAAAAAATGTAAACAAATTATGTGTGTGAGAGATTGTGTCTGTGGTTGTGTATGTATGTCAGTGTTTTTGAGGGCCCGTTCACACTAGTACAGTGTGCTAATCACATAGTACCCTGCGATTAACGCACTGTACCACGCAATCTCACCTACCTTGCATTCTGGTGTGTTGCATTGCCATTCATTTGAATGGTACCCCAAACGCACCTTCCACCCACAGATCGTACGTCCACACCGGAACGTGCGGTACCCTAATGTCGGGTTTTCCATTGCAGTATGACTTGGGTCGCGACTTAATGACCAAGGACAAATTTGGGTCCTGAGGTTACACAGGTTGAGAACCACTGGTCTAGACTAATGCAGTTAAAGCACTACCCACACTCTTTCCCCGCTACCTGGGACATCATTGAAGTTTTCTCTGTGATGAACAGTGTGGTGTGTGTTAGAGAGATAGAGAATGCATGCAGGCTGTGTTTAAACAGCCTGCAGGTCTAAGCTGGTCCAAAAGGCCTCATAACTATAATTAGCCTGGAAGCTGAATGTTTTGTTGTTTAATGGACTGTGCTGACACCACTTTTACTTTATGTTTGATGCAATGGTGACAGAATGGCAGACAATTCTTAAATGCACTTTGGCATCTGGACTACCTCCTGTGAGCTCTACATTGAAAAAATAAAAAATAAATTCATATTTAATATTTTAAATACTACATAATCGCCAGCTCTTACTTGTAAGTGAAGGGAAGCAATATTTTCTTTTCTTTCTCCTGTCCTTCCCCCACGTTCAGCTCCTAGAAGGCAACTGTGACTTCTAAGAGTGTACAAGGATATAAGCCCTGCACATATAGAAGGTACAAGGATATAAGCCCTGCACATATAGTAAAGGCCAGGCAGTGCTAATCTTGGTTTCTGAACAAAAAAGCAGAGAAGAATTCTACATATTTTTCACAGGTAAAGGGACAATTATCCATCACTGTGGCAGTGTAAAGAGCAAGAATTTTGTGCATTAAACAAAAGTACTTAGTAAGATCTCAGTTTCCTATAGTCAGTCTAGAGAAAGAGGCATGCACATTAGTTCTTACACAAGTTACTTCCCATTGAATATTACTCTCTACCTTATTATATAAGTCCAATATTATTAATAATGTTCAGCATGCAGGGATATCATCAGTGATGACTAGTGGCTAAATGCAATAGTTGTGCCAGTAAAATGTTTTTCATGTTTTTTTGGAACAGATACTAATTTTGTCTTGGGTAATGCCCAGATAGTGGATTGGCCAATTGTCTACAGCAATGACGGGTTCTGCAAGCTATCGGGATACCACCGAGCTGAAGTTATGCAAAAAAGTAGCACATGCAGGTAAATGAAATTTTGCATTATGATTGACTAACGTATATTTCATGAAACAATGTGCTGTTTTATCTGTGCTCATGTGTGATCTGGGCAAAGAGCTAAGTTAGGACTTGTGTACACAGATTTTTTTTTTTAATGGTGTGCAAAGCAGTTTGGAAGGAATTGGTTCTATTATTTGTCTGTGTTCTCTCCTTGTATAGGTGACACTTTTGCTCTAAAAGTCAGCTGTAAGCCCCCATACAGGCTGTTTTATCTCTGGTCCTAACTCTGTGCTGATAACAGAATGATAATTCTGTAGTAGAAGGAGCGTGTCTACAAAACTGTCAAATAGGCTATATTTTTTATTTTTTGCATTAATTAAAGTAATTTTGTTATTTGATAGTTTTATTCAGTGCATATTATATACACAGCTCAGAGTGTATTTAATATCCACTGAACTAGGTATGGAGACAGGACAGCCTCTGTGGGGGCTTGCATCTGCAGAGTACAGTGTTACCCTTGGAGAGCGAGAGAAGAAAAATAAATAATAGAGCAATAGCTATCCCTGAGCAATAGCTATCCCTGATCAATAAATGAGGTAAGAAGGGCCATCCCTATAATTAGGCAGCCTGAGTCAGGCACCATCTCATTGGGTCACACAGGGGGTGGCTTTTGAGACCTTTCAGCAACCAGTGAACCTCTATTCCACTCAGCTCGTGGCAACCAGTGATGTCCCCCCAGTAACATGCACCACTAGCTACCCCCTCCCTGTAACATGCACTACAAGCAACTCCCCCCCGTAACATGCATCACTAGCAACTCCCCCCCGTAACATGCATCAGCAGCACCCCCCGCTCACCTCAGGTGATGAATAGTCTAAGATCACCCCTGATGATAAGTATTTAAGAATAGAGAGTCAGATTATTGTTTTAAATATCTATTTGTGACACATAGTTAGGTACAGTAACCTAGTGGGAAAGACACTGAAATTCAGAAATGTCCGTGGGGAAACCGAGACTTCCGGCAGTGTCAATTTCCTGAACCCGCTGCAGCCCTGACTGGTTCCTCCCTCTGACCTCACAGCACTGCAGGAGAAAATGGTGATGTGTGAGGGTGAGGGAGGAACCAGTGAAAGCTGCGCGGGGACCTGGAGAGCAACCTCTCGAAAGTGTTGATTTCCCGATGGACTTCGGAAGAGCAGTTCTAGTGATTGGACCAGTGTTTGGTGACAAGTGCCACGGGACAGTTTAGCATTTACTGCCTTCTTTTACTGCTTTAATGCAGATTCAGCATCACATGTGGGCATTACCTGCAAATGACAAAATATATGCAGTGTAACAAGGATACTCCACTGTAGTCCAGGTAAGTCAAGTAAAATGCAGTTTATTAAAGGGCAAACACAAAATAGCTTGCAGCAGCAACATAAGACAGTCCTTTATATGGCTCAGTAGCTTTCCTCATGAGCCCTCACTCTGCTCTCTCAGCAGTGTGTCCCAGCGGTCCTAGGGTCACCAACCTACTTGACCTCTCACAGCCTTCCCTGGCTGTTCCACGTGTCCCGCACGCACCTCAGTCTGCTGTGGCTCTGTGCTTCCTGCCCCCACACAACTCCAACACTCCTCTCTGAGTGCTGAGCTGGCTTCCTAATGAGGCTGCTCTCAGCCACATGATCAGCCCAGGCTGGTCATTGGCAACACCTGGCCCCAGGACTGGAGATCTCATCCCACACAGAGCTCTAAAGGTGGCCATACACTTTACAACCATCGCAAGACCTTAGTCTTCCGATGGTTGTAAAGTAATTTAAAAAACGTACGATCTGCACATCTTGGACAGGCAGATCGTACTTGCGATCATCGCAAGCCCACCCCCCTGAGGGACGGGCTTCCGATGACCGCAATGCTGAACGGGCAGTGTGCGTGTGCGCACACCGGCCCGTTCGGCATTTGTCTCCCGAGCATGCTAAAAACCAGCCGAAAATCGTATGATTCTCGGCTTGTTTTCTAGCATGCTCCTTAGACAAAAGACGTGCGACCGTACAGTAGAAACGGTCGCACGTCTTCATTCACACTACACGATTCTCATACGAGAATCGTGTAGTATATGGGCACCTTAAGAGATCTCCAGAGCTCCAGATCCCAGCTACATTTAGGAAAACCTGGAAGAACCTGAAAAGCCAGGCTCTTCATTATAACATGCTTTACTTTCTGGACCCTCTCAGCCCCTTTGGCTGAGAGTCCTGGGTGCCAAAGTTGCCATACTACTCTGTGGCATTGGCTTACAGTGCCACAGCAGATGAAACATCATATTTATTGAATATTATTTAAAGTCTTAAATCTTTCTTACAGCTTTATGTATGGGGAGTTGACAGACAAAGAGACTATTGAAAAAGTCCGACAGACATTTGAGAATTACGAGATGAATTCCTTTGAAATTTTAATGTATAAGAAGAACCGTAAGTGCTCCATATCACACTGTCTTCCTCTTTATGGTTTCTTACATGTATTCAGATTTATGTTTTGGTTCTTTTTACCCTCCTTTGTGTTGTTACACGACAGATAATATAATTGTACTGTTTTATACGCCGATGCTTTATTCAGTGCTGCAGTGATCATTAAAGAACAATGAGTTCTGCGTGATTGGTAAATTGCCAAATCACCTCTGTTCATTATTGTCTGCTGGTTCAGAGCTGTGCTCCCAGTAATCTATTTGCATTCATAGAACGAGTGTTCAGCTGAGGTGCAGATGTTGTTATAAGCAAAATGGAACTGTCTATACTGTGCACCATTTGCTTTTAATATACCAAAAGATTTTTGGTAGATGATGCTCTACTGGCCGTCCTTAAAATGTAACTGTGCTTATAGTGCCACAGATATTCCTTCTAGTTATAAAAGCTATATTCATCTGTTCTCGATCCATCAAGATGTTTTCTAGGCAGCACTGATTTTGTTAAGGTTTTCTCTAACCTGCATGCCATACTCCATTCATTCCTATAGAGAATGTGTGTTCCAGAGTATGGGCTCTCCATAGTATTCAATGGAGAATGCAGACCGCATACAAAGTTTTGGGCCCATGGAGGCACATCCAATGGGTACATCTGCGGCATACTGATGAGGTCATCACTCTGATTAAAATATTGTAGTTTCAAAGCAAACTACAGCCTTTACAATCATATTGATAGGATGGTGTTTGCAGTAATGGCCACAGATGGGGCCATGTAAAATCACGTGTAGAGTAGAAGTCACCAGCACTCCATAGATGTAAGAATAATCAACTCGGATTTATTCACTTAACGCCATATGTATACATGTTTTGGGGCCACGCAGGGTCCCTTCCTCAGGATAACATAGTAAATCCACTCTCCCTCAGTCAGCAAGCTTTCTTTTCAGCACATGGGCATGCAGCAGAGCCTATTGGCTTAGATGTAGATTAATGGCCCTCACCCAGGTTAAGTGCTGTGGTACAGGAAATTACAGGAGAATGATATCAAGACAGATTTAGGTCTTTATACTTGATACAGTAAATATTTTGGTGAATATATAATTGCATTAAATGGCTTGATCACAAGCAGGGCTGTCTCTATAAAGAGGCAGCCTGAGGTTGTTGCCTCAAGTGGCATATTTTTCACATGGGGGGGGGGGATTGCACAATGTTTGCAATGTGCCTGCTGCTCTCTTTCTGGCCAGAGCGTCCAAGGTTGCTGAGAGCTCTAGCAACCTGGGATGCTCTGGCCGGCATCCCGCCCAGTTCCTGCCAACCAGTGACATTGGTTGGGATGCCAATCTGGGTGGGGAGATGCAGAGCCTGAAGAGTGTGGCATCACTCAACCACCTCCAAACCCACCCCAGCTGCCTCAGGTGGCAAAAAAATCTAGGAACACCACTGGTCACAAGCTTGTACCTGGAAGTCCATAGTAGATAATGTGTAGAGAGCATGCAAGGGGCCTGGCCAGCAATATTATGACAAGCGGCAGTGCAGAGTAGTCAGCAACATCTCTGTTTGGGACAGGTGATTATATTACTGGAAGGGGCTGCTGGGGGTGTGGAGCACATCATCTAAATATACCTTCACCAAATGTTCACTTACAATTTAAAGTAAAGTAGTCATGAGAGAATAACAAGGCTGCCCTCCCTGCAGATCTCCTTGCGAAAATATTGGGTGCTTAACTGTTAAGCTGAAACACTGGTTTTAATACTTCTGAGTTCCTCATCCAGAAGAAGTACACTAATCAGTAAAGTTAGAGAAGAGTCAGTCATGTCATTAAAAAAGGCTATGAATTGCATCAGCAGTGTCTCCAGCAGTGCAGGGGGCACACAAAAAGTAATAAGCAAGTAATAGTTAATGGGGTCAAAACAACAATCATTGTTAGCTGTAATGACCAAAAAAAATTAAAGGAGCAGGATGGAAATTTTTTCTCAAACTAAAGAAGTTCTAAAAGAGAATACGGTTTTCCTTTGGGAATGCTATTCATTTCAAAATCAAAAGATAAAGATTACATTTCAAACAACATTGGCCAAATCTCTGACAGCATTATCAAATGGTTTTTTTAGTTTTTTTGTAAGAACGTTCGTATGACTTTCTAACCGTGTATACCTAGCTTAAGGTGTAAATGACATAGAGCTTGGGGACGGTTAGAGTCTCTTGGCGGTCTGGAGCGCTGTGGACCCCTGCTCTAGAAACTGACAATTTTCTGACACGCTATGCGGTACTATGCTTAGATAGCACAAATTGCTGCAGCAGAGAGTGCTACTGTAAGTAGATCTTGGCAAGCATATCTTTAGTATACAGGGCAAAATTATGTGATTGAGTCTCTTTAAATCTTAAGAGATGGCTCAGTTTAAAACCAGATCTCTGGTAGTTACTGAACTATAAAATTATACTTTTTTTTACTCATACTTTTTGTTGCCAAATAAGTGCTCACATACCTTTCACTGCAAAGGTGAGAAATAAAAATGCTTCTTCTTTGTGGGTAACATTTACATTCCTGTTTCAGGGACACCCGTGTGGTTCTTTGTAAAAATCGCTCCCATTCAAAATGAACAGGACAAAGTGGTATTGTTTCTTTGCACTTTCAGTGACATCACAGCCTTTAAGCAACCAATTGAAGATGATTCAACAAAGGGTTTGTATTATTCATCTTTTGTCTTCACATATACACACACAGACTTATGGAAGGGAAGCAGCTCTCTAGAAATGATTATTTGGAGTTACATAAGCCTGTAGGTCATTGTCTGTTGTCAGATTTTTCATTTTTTTGGAATAGGGGAACTATTTTGGGCTGTCGTCAGATTGTACTGCATTTTTCCTCTCACAGAGATAATCAATTTATGCAAATGTAGATGTTTACCGTTGAGTTCTATCTACATATCTTACCACTCAGCATTTTGTTGTAAAGGCAGCAACATAACACAGTACTGGTTGAGGGCTATTAAGTCTTACGATCAAAGATCAAAGGACATTGTTTACTGCAGCTTACAAACTAATCAATAAAATATGCATTAAAGCCTATCTCTGGGCAAACAAGAACCATTCCCATTGGAGTGGGTCTACTTCTGCACTGTAAGGGTTAACTGATTATTTATACCTAGGGGACCTGAGTAAAGAACCTTTACTTAACTTATCTCCCCTTCCCCATGTGGTCAGTGCTCACTTCTTCCCCCTCTTGCTTTGGCTCAGCGTCCTCATGTATAATGCAGGTCTGTGGGCCCTGCAGTAGACATCATGCCGATTGCTGAAGCAGAGGGGGTAGGAGGGTACGAGCACCGGTATTGGAGCCAGCAGAAGCAGCGATCAGGTAAGTAAAAGTGCTTTATCCCCATAGGTGTAAATGAGTAGCTAACCCTTGCAGTGCAGGGGTAGCATCACTGCAAGAGGAGTTTTTTTGTTTGCCCGGAGATAGGTTTTTAAATAATTTTGGGTGTTAAGTCTATGCTTAAAGATGGTAGCATATACATTTTTGGTATCCATGCAACACTTACATATTATGTGAAAACAAAACGTTGCACCTAGTGTACAGATACAAGAAGATGCAGTCATTATGCATCACAATTTTTCATCCTGGTTCAACTGAGTAATTCCCATCCGTTTGTTCGTTATTGGTAAAATAGGTCTAAACCAATAACTAGTCTTTATGAAGGTGTCATAATAGTTTGACTGTTTAATCCATTTCTGTAACACCAACATGATGAATAGTGCATTACAAGGTGCGTGTAACCATACACTTTGATTTAAAAAGGCCTCATGATCTAATGTCCCTATTGGAGTCATGCAGAGAGACGTTCACTTAATACGAATATGGGTGGAAAAGAAATAGCATTGTTCCAGAAACGTAGTACACACAGGAAAAAAACACAATAAATCAAACTAAGGCTGGCCATACACCTATCAATTTTTCGTTCAACCCCCGACTCGATCGAGGAATCTCGCTGTTTACATTGTATTCTGACAGGTGCTGCCGCCACCTGCCAGAAAACCCAAAAAGAGCAGGCAGCTCATTGGCTGCCGAATCTGATCGATCGAAAATTTTCCAGCCGGCTCCTTCGAGCAACTGATCGAGGAAGGCCGGCTGAAAGGGAGCCGACAGCCCCACACACTGCGAATTTCAGCCAGTACATTCAAAACCAGCCGAAATTTCACCAGTGTATGTGAACCTTAAGACAGTTGGCCATGATTGTTACAACCAAATCTGTGTGATCTTTCTTAATTTTACCAACAACAAGGTTGAACTGTAACGTGTGGCCAGCTTAAAATTCCATGTAGATGGAATTCAAAACCACTAAGCTAACCACTAAAACATCATGTAGCTAATTTATGAACCTGAAAACCCTTTTTTATGGTCATCTTCATGCCAAGAGTGCAACACAGAGTTCTGTATGTGAGATTATTGCAATCTCCTCCATTCATTGCCACTATCTGATCTCAGACATGTCATACTGATGTTTTATGGGCCACATGTAGCCCTCTTGTTCCTTCTTAGAAGCTCTCTAACACAAAACAAATGTTCCCCCAGCTGTTGATAAGTAACACTTACATGCATCATTTTGCAGCTATAGAATTCAATAAATATTTTGGTCCCTTTCTCTGGGATGAGATATGGTTAGTGGTAATTTTTACTATAATGTGAAGTTCTGAAGTGCCATAATCTTGGAAGTATGTGCAGTCTTCAGTATACATAATGTGGCCCCTTTAAATAATAAAGTCTTCTCAATTCTGCGGCAGGTTCACCTGAGTTTGACATGCCTGAATTATGCAGTTCCAAAAAGCAAACAAGACACCTTCTTATTCAGAGGTTACGTCTAGAAGGCTCCTGCTATTGTGACCTGTGCTGCTGTTAAGAAGCCATTTGTGTAATTTTATCTCTTCCATTACTTAGATTCATTCCTGGCACTGAGTAATGGTTCCACTCCTGATTCTCTATTATTTTGTTTGCAGAAAGCAGTATGTATCTCACCATAAGATAAGGTGTACTTCTTCTAATGGAGTTAATTAGGCAGCAGTTTGTTACAGAGACCTAATGAGTGAGCCAGTTACAGTGACATTAAACTCAGATGTTAAATCTTAAAAATGCATTCAAGTACCTTAACTTTAAATAAAAATGTATCTTATTTGTGCATCACTCAGCTGTAGATCCTCAAATCATCTCTGAATTGGTACTGACACTGTCCTTTCTTCTGGAGGGTGGCTACTTTTATTCCCCATGTTTTCTGTGTGTCCTATAAAGTAGTCACCACTCCAAGCTCACTCCCGCGATGCACTACAATCTAGCATTTAGTTTACTCATTTGTATTGAGATTGTAGTCCATCACAGGAGTGAGCTTGGAGTGGTGACTACTTTATAGGACACACAGAAAACATGGGGAATAAAAGTAGCCACCCTCCAGAAGAAAGGACAGTGTCAGTACCAATTCAGAGATGATTTGAGGATCTACAGCTGAGTGATACATAAATAGGATAAATTTTTGTTAATAGTTAGGTTACTTGAATGTATTTTTAAGATTTAATTCCTGAGTTTAGTGTCGCTTTAATATAAAGTGTTCAGTTTTGACATACATCTCCTTTTATATAATCCAAAGAGAGGTCCATATATATATATATATTTTTTGTGCCCATTTCCATACCTCTCAACCTACTGAGATGTAGAAAAGGGACACCTTTACCAATATTTTTATTGAGTTATAAAAACATAAAACAGGAGATACAGGAAAATCAAATACACAACCGCTTCCAAACATCATACAAGTGCATGGAATGGCATGAATTAGTGATACTAATGCTAATAGAATAGATCATAGATCCCAGGGGTAGGCACACATTTGGCCCTCCAGTTGTGGCAAGAATACAAATCCCATCATGCATCTGCTTCTGGGAGTCATGCCTGTAGCTGTCAGCCTTGCAATGCCTTATGGGATTTGTAGGTTTACCACAGCTGGAGGGCCAAAGTTTGCCTACCCCTGATATAGACCATAGAACAGATCACCTAGAGGTATGGTCAGATGTAGGAACCTGGATGGGTAATTAAAGAATTAAAATCTCAGAAATAGTGAGGTTGAGAAATCAGGAGAAAGTGAGAGGGAGTAGAGAAGGGAAAAGGAGGGATGGGGGAAGGAAGTGAAAGGAGAAAGAGCGCCCTAAGTAGACATGTAAATTTTGTTAAATTGGGACATTCGAATCCATCTGAATTTTCGAATTTGAACGAGTGCAAACACATCCATCCGAATTTCATTCAAAATTAATTAAATTGGACATATGACAGGTCTCTGGCCAGGGGCCTTAGGCGCACATTACAGTATTGGTTTATGTTAAAAAATCTGAGGGTTTATTGTCACTTTAAGTGTAAATGGACCATAATTGTTTCTTATTCTGTTTTTATCGTAATAGCAGCTTCAGCAAATAAAGAGAGAAAATGGCTGTTGGGGTTGCATTACAGGCACAGTCATGTGACTTTGTTCCGAAATGGGAATCCCAAATCCGAAAAACAAAAGAAATAAAAATCTTAATTGCTCCGAAACAATACACATTTTTTGCGGGGTATACATGTCTACCCCTAAGCTTGTCCAATTTGTCTGGAAACACAACCAATCAGCTTACTTAAAATCATAAATCTCTAAGGCTTCAATCTTTTTTTTTTTTAAATCTGGAGAGTTTTGCTGTCAGTCTTTTATTAAATGCCAATGTGAATATAATCTCAAAGTCATTATTTGTATATCTGTAGACACACCCTTTAGTAGTAATGAGGCCTCGGGCATTGCACTGTGGGATGGGGCAATAGGGTCGCCACAACCTGGAACAGGAGATATTTATGTGCCAGCTACAAGCTACAGCTTAAATCTAATGCAGTTTTAGCTACCCAAAAATAGTCAAGACGTGCTGTGTAGGAGGAGGGAGAAGAGTTTCTACTTGACTCCTCTAATGACGACAGCTTTAGAGTCCTTTAGAAGTATTACTTTTCAGGCCTACTCTAGGCTTTTGTGCCTCCCCACTCTTTACCTATTACCATGGCAACAAAGTAAGTCCAGGTTACAGGAGGCTTAGGGGTTCCTAGCTCTGCTGTTATTCTTCCTCACCTCACTATGACATTAAATTTTCCCACAACCTAACTGATGTACAATGTTAATAAGTAAAACTGCTAGAGCCTATTAGTATAAAGGCTTATCCATTTTAGCGAGCAGGAATTAATACATTTTACTCTTCCCAAACACTCTGAAACCCTTTATACTGTAAAAAAAGAATAGTGCCTCTCTTTATAATTCTTCCCAGCCATGTATTGTTTTGTCCAGCATTACAGGTACTCTTTAAAATGGGCCTATTTCTACAATTCATACTTCACATCGGTTAATAGGTAAACACTACCAATTCCGATTATTTTGATTACAAAAATTGCTCTTTTCTACAAATAATAAAAAAATTTACTTTTGAAGTTTAGGCAAAAGTTCACATGGTTCCTATTATGGGGTGTTTTACATTATTAGAGACTGTAGTAGGTTTTTATTCAGGCGTACCCTTACAGACAGAATTGCAGAGAGATCAGGGGGACAGATAGTTCAATGTCTAATGTGGTGTTGGGCCATCATCTTGTCTAGTTTGCTATAGCTACGCTTTGTTCTTTTAGGCTCCATTCACATGAGTGGTTTTCCCCGCGTACATACGCGCTAAACATAAAAAACAATGCATTCCAATGTGCATTGTTCATACTATTGCGACATCCAGGTGGTACGAAACCCTGCGTGATTTTAGGGGCGGATTCCGCACACAACGCTTGGAATCCGCGCATATGTAAAACATTTTTTTGTGCCATGCGGTTTTCTGCACGAAAAACGTGAACGCCATATGTAAATGGAGCCCAAGAGACTTTTCATATCCTGTCATATAGGGAGATAGGGCTATAGACTGTATGTATATGGGATAACAGATTTTATAAGGGGAGAATGACACAACCCCCCAATGTATGAATATGGAATGCACATTCATGTGAATGCTTTGTTATATATGAGATATAAGTGACTATAAACCTCGTATAATGTCTATATTACATATTCTGATTTTTTTTTCTTTCTCAGGCTGGGGTAAACTTGCACGTTTAACAAGAGCTTTGACAAGCAGCAGAGGGGTCTTACAACAGCTTGCTCCCACCGTCCATAAAGGGGAAAATGTACACAAACACTTCCGGCTTGCCGAGGTAATGCACAGCTAACATTGTACACTGTATTTGTAGCCATGTTGTGGACCAAACCAATATTATGCTATATGTCTTAATTATGTTACTACAGGGATCTCAAGTCTCCCTGATGTTCAGGGAGTCTCCCTCTATTAGATAGCGGCTCCCTGATGTCCGCGAGAGAGGCATTTTCTCCCTGAAAGGTCTGAGTATACCTTTCCGGTAAGATATCAGTGGGTAAGGTTTCAGAGTGAGGCTTGCCTCGTGGAGCAAGGTCATGTGATCTCTAGAGTAGAAGGAGGAAGAAGTAGAAGGAAGAAGCTACTTGTTGCACAGAGAGGGCGGACATAGACTACTAAGTGATGTTTCTACAGGTGTCCACTGTGCTGTGCGTTACAACGTCTTGTGGTAACGTGATAATACACACATTTTACCACCTGTTACCGCTATAGTTGCAACTGTTTCTGGGAAAAATGCTGGCTTTATGATCTTTTTACTGTTAATAACATTACCAACAACTCCAATTCTTGGCAGCCAGTTCAATAAAATACCAGCCAGGTGGCAACTCTAGTTACTACAACGCATACAGTAGGTATAAAGCAGCCTGAAAGTCGAGCTGTGGGAAAAATTAATCATTTTGTATATGATACTATCTGTGAATAGCTTTAACACATCAGTGTTTGTTTTGATTGCTATATAATTATGCCTCTAAGGGCCCGTTCTCACTTGTGTGTTATGGCAACATGCTCATTAATGCCTGCTACCACAAGGCATGGCAATGCACTTGCTCTGTGTGCAGTGCATTTTGGTGCCTTTCATTGTAAATGGCACCCCAAAGCACTGTACAGTAGATCCCAATGCAAAATGCATATACCGTGTGTTGTGTTGCAAAAAAAATGGTCATGTGCATTTTTTTTCCTGTGTGTCGCGGCAAATTTTCAATGGGGCAAAGGGTCGCGGGTCGCTACAGCAGGACCCTTTTTGGAGCGGATTTAGCCGCGATTCAAGCTTGCTCAATGCAAGCTTGAACGCGATGTCGCGCGGCAAATCTTGCGATATCGCGCAATATGCAAATCGCGCGACAAACGCGCGATTTGCATATCGCGCAGTGGGAACGGGGCCTTAGGCACACATTACAGTATTGGTTTATGTTAAAAAATCTGAGGGTTTATTGTCACTTTAAGTGTAAATGGACCATAATTGTTTCTTATTCTGTTTTTATCGTAATAGCAGCTTCAGCAAATAAAGAGAGAAAATGATCTATTAAAATTGATATTAAACTGAAACAGGTATCTCATATGAGATGTACAGCACAAAGTCATTTTAATAACAATAACCATACAAGCTCATATACCACCTCCATCTATATTTTCTTTGCAATGCAACCCTGAGTTCACACGCATCTATCTCGTCTGCATGCACTTTATTCATAATGATACAAAGCATACGACTGTCAAATACAAGAGGCTAATGTAGATATATTGGCTTACGGTGGCGATGTGGGCAGCGGCTGAAACGATATTTCTGAACAGCACCGCTCATCGCCTTGTTTAATATTCTGCCTCTTCCTTGTTTAAGACAGTAGTGATTAAGAAACATTTGCATTCATGGATGCAGCTTGTTCTCACGCAGCTGACCGATCTGCTGTTTATACTCAGCACACACTGATAGAAATAAGGAGGGATATGAATGACTTTACGTACTGAAGATCTCACAGGTTCCTGTAGATATGACACAAGAAGGTGGAATAAATAGAGAAGTACATTGCCTTGTTGTTGTATGAGATACGAAAGCTCTTGTGATTAATTACCATAACTGCTATTGCTAGTGACTAGAGAATCATATTAGGCTTGGAACAGTGAAGGTTTTTTATGGGCGGGAAATTGTAGGGACTGGTAAAACAGTTGTCTATGTAGGTTGTTCACACAGAAAAAAATAAATCCACTTTTTTGCTGTAATGTGTGTTTAAAAAAGAACTCCGGTCACAATTTTTATTACCCTTGCATGGGGTTACCCCCGCAGTGCAAAGGTTAACTGCTCATTTTTGCCTAGGGCAATAAAAAAATAAGTTATACTCACCCGATCCTTGGAGTTGGAAGCGCTCCCCCAGCCTGTCTCCTTCTCCGCTGCAGCGATGGTATGTCTCTCGCTGTAATCACATCCAATACATGATGACTTAGGGACCTTGGACCACTGCAGCACAGGGGGAGAGACACTCCAGGGACTGGTCTAAGAGCTGGATGGCTCAGAAGATCAGGTGAGTTTAACTTTTTTCTTTGACACTTGGCAGAAATTAGCAGTTACCCCTTGCAGTTCAGGGGTAGCCCCCATCTGTGCCCGACGTTCTTCTTTAAAAAAAACACTGTGGATGAACTGTATCATATGAAAAGCCAATGTGGCAATTTAGTGCACATCAATCTGTTTTCCTCTACCTAAAGCTCACCGCACAAATTACAATCAACTTTAGCTCTACTAACAAAAAGTATGTAGTTCAAGGGCTTGTCTGATTGGATACAAATTGAATGGATTGTTTAGGTAAGGTCACCAGATTACACAGTTTTGGTAGATCTAAGGTTGATTGTACAGAGATTGTACATTCATTGTAAAATGTATGGTTAGCCTTAAAGTCCTAAGCAAATCTTGGCTAAATGCATTAAAAAACATGTGAAAGTATATGCAGGGGCGTAACTAGAAAGCACAGGGCCCCATAGCAAAATTGTGTATCGGGGCCTGTGATTTCTAGTTACTTCCCTTGCAGAGCTCACCTGAGATCCCTCACAGCCCACCTGAGAGTGACCCTGCAGAGCCCACCATAGTCTCTCTATGATGGGCTCTGCAGGGTCTCAGGTGGACTGGTCACACCCCTGCACACCTCTTACCTGTCAGCCCCGATCCGCTGTCAGCCTCCTGCACCGCTGTGCCCTGCCTCCTCCATGGTCGCCGGCAGGCCCTGACTCCTCCACCGCCGCCGGGTCTGGCCTCTTCCTCCTCCTTCACCGCCGCTGGGCCCCGGCCTCCTCCACCGCAGCTGCTGGTTGTCACTGACTCTGCAGCGGCTGTGAGGAGGAACGCACCACTACACAGATCACAGACAGGTTTTCAGTGCTCTGGACAGCGGCGGTCTCCTCCTCACAGCTGCCAGTGACAACCAGCAGCCTGCGATGCCATAGCGACCCAGACGGCCCGCACGGCATCAGGGGGACCCCATTGTTCCCTTTCTTGCTCGGGCCCCATAGCAGCTGCCTAGGTCGCTATGGTTCCGCCACTGAGTATATGCATGTTTAAACCCAAACTCCAAAGAAAAAGCTAAATCAGATGAAATACAAATAAGGGAGCTTTTTATCTGACAAAGGATTTGTATAACTTTCTATTCAGTTCTGAGATATACACAGCTCTGCCACAATACACAGCCCTGTCTGGCGTGGCAGGAGAACTGATTTTTCCCCAGCTGCAGTTTCACTTTCACATACATGCCCCCTCTCCGCCCTGTGACTGGACAGTAAAAGAAGAAGAAGAAGCTGCACACTAAAGATCTCATTACACGATCACTCTGCTTTGTCCTTATATCAGCATGCTCTTTGCACTGCAGCAGACTTGATTGGCTCCTTGTGCTGTTTCTCCCTCCTCCTCTCTGAGCTCTGCTTTGCAGACTGAGCAGTAGACTGCAAGAAGCTGATACCTACTTAATGTTGGTACTTCCACCTGCTTGCAGTAAAAACATACATGAAACGATGTGTCCATGAATACAGAGCTGTATTAATTTGTGTCTTTCATAACTGCCTTGAGGTCAGTGTTAACATTACCTAAACCAACCATACAAGTTTAAACCCTGCTTCTTCCAATCTTCATGCTGCCTAGATTAAAGCCCAATCGAAGTCTCACACCTTTTTATGACTTTATAGTCCTGCACTGCACATTATGATTTGTGACTAATTTTTTGCTTGGATTTACTTAAATAGCTTTTTCTCTTTACTTCCTATGCTCATGCTTCAGTGCTCTGTGCTGGCAGAGCTGAGTAACAGCCACACCTCTCAACATAAGCTAACACTCAGACTTGTATGCAGAGAAAGTGAGGGGGGGTGTCTGAGCAGGTTTGTGTGAATTTTTTTTTTCTAGGGACTATTAGATCTCAGTTCAGACTTAACTTTTGGCTGAATTGGGCTCCCTTGGGGCAGTGGCATCACTAGGGGATGCGGTCCGCACCGAGTGACATCATTAAAGGGGTGTCACCCCCTCTGAAAAGTAGAGCACCCGTTCATGGACTGAGAGCCTGACAGTTGCACGAAAGAGGAGGGGATCCGGCGGCATACCTTATTCCGCCGGGTCAACTTCCCCTCCTCTCTCTGCCGGCATCCATCACTAAGATGGCTGCAGGCAGGTAACCACTCATGACCTCATTAGGCATGTGTACATCACGCGCATTTGCGATGATGTCATGGCTGGGTGTTACCCAGTGGGTGCTCCGGGTCACACCATGCCTCGGGGCGCCCCTGCCTTGGGGTACCAGCTGCCTGTTGCTTCCCTGATACTTCTGAGTCTGAGCTGTGGCTGGGGGTAGGATCTGTGTGATACATTGATTGACTCTCGTGTAAGGCAGTTGTTTGGCTGCTCAAACACTTGGACATGGCCCCAACGCATACCCAGATGTATGTGGGAGCCCGCAAAGGCTAAAACCCCATAAAAAATGGCATATAAACAATCTTTCCAAATACAACAACAACTTAACTTAAAAAAAATAATAATAGTAAGCGATAACACAAATGTCCACATGGGCTTAGATGTTTCTCACATCTAATTGCAATATTCTAAATATTTTACAGCTTTACACTGATAATGAGGTAGGTGTCTAAATTGGCCCTGTATGTGTGTGCAATAGGGACCTTAGACTGTTAGCTGCTTGTGGGCAGGGACTGATGTGAATGTGCAACTATGTAAAGCGCTGCGTAAATTGTCGGCTCTATATAGATACCTGTAATAAATAAATCAATAGTTGCCTGACCAAGGCTGGACATCTGGGCACTACCATTAGCCAACAATCTGGCAATTTACAGCCTTTGAAAAAAAACTATTACCCAGATCTCAGATATATTTAACCTCCTGTCTGGTGCTTTGCACTGAATGTTTTACATTCCCTTCTTTCCCGAAGATAAATCTTGTATTTTAAGCTGTGATGATCTGGTCTCACACTGAAGACCCATCCAGCATAGCTTAACATCAGAAATGTCACTTCTTTTGAATTATATGAGTTATCTGGTGAATTCCCAGGGTCCTCCCTGTGGCATATCTGATGGACCTTGTCTTCTTATAGACATTCTATTAATGCAGAAGAGTGCGGGGGAAATGACAAGTGTTCAGGCCTCTAAGGAGCTCCATGTTATAGCTTCTGTCTGTCTTACATTCTCATTTGTTCTTTTTTCTTTAATAGTACACTTGCTGTATATATTGTTTAAAAAAAAAAGAACATTTAAAGGTCTATTATATTCTTTAGTGAGAAAGGAGAGCAGGCTGGAGATTAAACTCTGAGAAGGAAATTAAACTTTCTGAATATTAATAGAATGCTAACCAGAATTCTGATTGCGGTTTATGTAAAAGATGGCCAAAAGGGATCCCCTTTGTCCCACCAGTGTCTACCTATAGAGGAAATTTAGCAGTGGTTGCTCTGACCCTTTAAAATAAAACCAATGCAATGTTAAATCTGATTGGTTACTGCACATAATTGCTCCTTTGATTGGCTTATTGATTTAACGTTAAGCTAAAACTGTATCTTACTAATACGATTTATGGATCTGCTACACTATTAGAGGTGTGTGCACAGGGTTACCACATAGCACAACAGAGTACATCATGACCTGTTAACTTTGTCTGGCCCTGGAAAGACTGGGCAACATGTCTGCATTGAATGTTTGAATCGACCTAAAGCTAACTGACCCCTTAAAGTAGAATTCTCTCATTCCTGGCTTCTTTAATCAGTATGAGCCCAAATAACGCTGTACGCAATTATACAACATATCACATAACTAGAAAAACCTTTGCATCTACATTCCCCCTCCACCATCATTAGGTTATTGAAAGGCTCTGCATATTGTTCCAGCGTGCGGTGAGCTTTCTCATGGCCAACATTGCAACAGGAATAGCACACAAGAGCCATTGATTATACACATGATAATGGCAGTCTGTAGCCTCCTGAATGCTCTAGGTACACTCCGGGGTATCATCCACAAATTCAAAATCTCCTAATGAAACTTGTTCCCCATAGTGAGGTCTTTTCCCTGAGCCAAGGCTGGGATCCCATGTAGCAAGCCTTAACTTTGTTGTCTTTGAGTCTCCCTGAAATGCAGTTTACCAGTAGTTCTTTTTTAGCAGCATTTCTTTCCCCAATGAACAGTAAGTGATGGGGGAAAGAAAGCGGCCGACATAATTCCACCTCTGTGCAGATCACTGTGACCTGCTTTTAGGGAGGAGGCACCCTGCTTCTAAACCAAAAGGGTTGGCATTATGAGAACATTGAAACAAATGCAGGTGACTAATGCTCTAACTACTTAAAGAGGTAACCTATTAATATGTTTTTGGATTGTGGGAGAAAACCAGAAAACCTGGAGGAAACTTAATCAGACAATATACATACTCCGTGCAGGTAGTGTACTGTAATGAAACTCTTTAAGAGCCCGTTCATGCGCTATCCAGTGCGTTCCAGCATGGTTCTGTGCCGTGAATGCACTGGATTGCATAAACTAAGCATCCCACGTTCTGGGGCAGGAGGGGGCGTGGTGGTCCCACTCATGTCAATGACACCGTAGAAACACCTCCCACCCGCAGTGCGATCACCCGCACCAGGACGCGTGGTACAGCAATGCCCTGTGTTCCAGTGCGGTGCGAACGCAAAAAACCATGCATGCACGCTGACCTGTGTTTGATGGTCTGTTTTTTTTAATGCAGGATGACAATGCTACATGAGCCCTATTGCCACCAGTCATGTTTGTCTATCTATCTATCTATCTATCTATCTATCTATCTATCTATCTATCTATCTATCTATCTATCTGTCTGTCTGTCCGCCTGTCTGTCCGTCTATCTATCTATCTATCTATCTATCTATCTATCTATCTATCTATCTATCTATCTATCTATCTATCTATCTATCTATCTATCTATCTACAGTATCTATCTATTTATCTCTCTCTTTCGATAATTATCCTGTAATGTTGGGGAATTTGGGGGCCTTTTTGAACTCTTGCTTTGGACACCCTAATATCTAATTTCAGCTTTGCCTTACATCAGCTGCAGCCCCGAATACAACAAACACTGCACATATCTTACAGTATTTATTGCGGCACAAGTCACAAGAACACATTCCCATACATCATGTAAAATGTATGCGGCTCTTTATCCAATTGATTATGTCATTATTCAGATTAATGAGATATTGACTGTTTACTGTTTGCAAGATATTAGTTCCCCGTTCAAACTCATAAGAGTACGTGTCTGCTTATAGATCAGTATTATGTTGTAGTCATTAGTGAGAAAGGCTTTTAGAGCAATATAAATTGGCATAGATTATTCTATGGAGAATTCAGAACATTTTTTATAGACCTGATTCATCTGCAAACCTGCATCATTCACAGTGCTTTAGGACGAATGCATAATGATTATTTTCAATATAGAATTATCATATATAGATATTATTTTCTTATAGAACGGCAAGTATGAAATATTGCATATGAAAATGTTATCATTTCCTTTTCAGACAGAAGGTGAGAGCGCCGGACTTTTTTATACATGTTTTCCAGACTATCCTTACCTGGCTTACTGAAGAAAGCCTGTTGTTTAAAGAGCTCAGTAACTTACACACAAAAGTGAATAAGTCAGAGGGGTGACTTATCTCCCACCCTGCAATGTTGTTTTCAGGAAACTCCATAGAACTTTTCAGTTAGAGGAAGAGAGTCCCTATTGAAAACCCATAATACTTTGGGAATCCAATGTCATATGCGTTCTCTGTAATAATCAGTATTTGTAAAACAAAGATTTCTTAAAAACATATTTTTTTAAAAACTGTAAAAAAAGGTTCCTGAAAACTTAACACTCTTGCATGATATTGTTCCTGATATTGGGGCCCTGTGGCTACTTTCATGAAATTGTTGGATGTTAAAGATGTTCCCATAGTTTTATGTATGGCCAACGCTTCATATTTAGTACACATTGAAGCAGCTAAGGGTCCCAGAAGTAGAAGGAATGCTGCAAAGTAAATTCTATTGGGGAAAAACAAGCAAGTGTTATATTTGCTCATTGTCCGCTTTGTCTTCTAGGTGCTGCAGCTTGGCTCTGAGATTCTTCCACAATACAAACAAGAAGCCCCGAAGACCCCTCCTCATATCATTCTTCATTACTGTGTCTTCAAAACCACCTGGGATTGGGTCATCTTGATATTAACGTTTTACACTGCTATCCTGGTCCCTTACAACGTTTCCTTCAAAACCAAACAGAACAACGTGGCCTGGCTGGTGCTGGACAGTATCGTGGATGTCATATTTCTGGTGGACATTGTACTAAATTTTCACACCACCTTTGTTGGGCCTGCTGGGGAAGTCATTTCAGACCCAAAGTTAATAAGAATGAACTACTTGAAGACTTGGTTTGTCATTGATCTCTTGTCCTGTTTGCCGTATGATGTCATCAATGCCTTTGAAAATGTGGATGAGGTCAGTAATGTTTGGTTATTTTAATATAACGATGATTCAGGTTTCAAATGCAATAATAGAATTATGAAGGGAACCTATCATGTAGTTGGCATTCTATATCGAAAACGCTACCAAAGTAAAATCTGAAAGCTAAGCTCCAGGCAAACAGTTAAACATTAACTTGAGATAAATACGTAAACAGTTTTATCGGCCATAATATATGTAATTCTGTTGAGGCAGTCTTGTGATTCAGGTACCTCTGCCAGACAGACATCATAACCAAATGCTGGATCTCTCTGAGGGCAACCATGTAAATTAGTTGTATAGCTTAGGCCACGGCCAGTCTCACCATGTGATCAGACAATGATTGAGCGAGAGCTCACTGATAAGGTCATTCTACGCTCTGACCATCTGTAGGCCTGCTTCCTATAAGCAGATTGCTTCTCGGCCTTTTGGCTTAGATCAAGTGTAGTATCTGTTCTTATCAGGTGGAAGAACGACACCACTCCTTCTCGAGGTGATTAGGATGGTGGCTTAGTATTTACCGGCGTAATTGGTGGGTGTCAGATGGGGTACAGTCCCTCCTGGTTAGATTCTGGCCCAGTGATGCTGGGCTTGTCACCGGTGGTAGGGATGGACCCCTGACGGCACTACCTTCTGATGGGAATGGATACGAAGCTTGGTCGAGGCTGGAGGGTTGGGAGGCGGCAGAGCGTTCTCTGTAATAATATGCGTATGTGTTGTGCCCCCTGGGGGTGGAGTCCCAGGGGTGCTCAGAAAGTCACTTGGGTGTGGGAACCCACATGACTCACTGTGCACTTGGTCACACACCACCTTGCAATTTCTGCAACGCCTCTTGGACAGGCCTTATGGCTAGTCCGGGGTAATTTTTTAGCACCCGGCCCCTAGGGCCTGTCAGCGTGGTGCACTGGCACTATTTCTTTATTTATTGCACCTCATGCACGATTTGGCACTTTTTTATTTTTCTATTTGACCCACAGATTGCTTAGGGTGCAGGTACCTTCGGGGCCTATTCCCGATGCTGGGGAGGAGGTTCTGTGCCTAATATAGGTTCTCTGCCTCCTCCCGAACCAGGGGGTCTCTCTTCGGGAGAGCCCCCTACCTAGTACTTGGTGGGACCTGTTTCGGCACGTCCCCGAAGGATCGGGGTCCGCGAGCCTCCAGGTTGGTGGACCAAAGTATCTCAACCCCTGTCAGGAGCCTTGCGCCCCGGGGGGTCGGGAATTCGAGGTCCCTTCTTTATTGAAGGACCAAGCACCCTTGTGCACGTTTTTGTGTGTGTGCTGCTCACTTTTTTTGTTCACAGGCGGAAGTTTGTTTTATGATGCACGTCCACGAGCTCTTTAAAAAAAATAAAAAAAATTGATGTGCTCTTTCTCCCCCTGAGTGGGGATTTACAGGTGGCTAATGCAAGACAGATGTAGTCACTAAGGCCAGGTTCACACCTGGGCGTTTTACAGCGCTGATCGACGTGCTGTAATACGCTCAAACAGTGAAGTCCCATACTTCCCTATGGGGATGGTTCCCACCTGGGCGTATTTCAGCCCGTTGAGAAGGGCTGAAAAACACCCTATGCCCAAACAAGTACAGGAGCTTCTTTGGGGCGTTTTTCCGCGTGTTTCCATTGGTATTCCCGAGTGTGGCTCGGGGTTAACAAAGCGGTAACTCCAAGCCACACTCGGGAATACAGGGTAGGACTTACCTTGTCCGTGATCCGCGCTGTGAGCGGCCGCATCGCAGGGGGACGGAGCCGGCGGGAAGTTTGAAAGTGAAAAACGCGCATTTCACTGAACAGAAAACCGTGCTAAAAAAATTAGCTGAAAAACGAGCAGAAAACATAAGCCCAGGTGTGAACCCAGCCTTATGCTATTTCTAAGTAAAAATACATTAAGGGCCCATGCACAGTAGTGCACTGCATATGTGTTGGAGCTGTGTTGCCTAGTTTATTGGGGTGCCATTCAAAAAGAATAGCACTACAACACATTAACGCATGTAACATGCATTGAGTTATATAAGTTGTGTTACTACAGCACACCACACCGGAAAAGTGTGAATGCATGTTTCAATGCATGCATAACTGGTCTGGATGTTATTATACCCGTCTTGAGTTCAGCTTTACCCTCAATCCATAATTAAAATGCCTTGTACATATGGTTCATGGAAACAAATATATTTCTATATATTATCGTATACATGGGAATTATTTTTGATGTGGAGATTCGGTGGCATTATAGTAATGAGATTATACAGGGTCACTGGCACAGAACAAGATAAGTATGATTTAGAAGGGCTTGTTCAATGTTATGAATTAGCTCAGGATTTAAGTTAGAATTAGGTTTGGGGTAAGGGGGTTAAAGTTAAAGTGACTTTAAACTCTGGAAATGAATCTTAAAAATGCATTCAAGTACCTCAAGTATTCACAAACATGTATCCTATTTGTGTATCACTCGGCTGTAGATACTCAAATAATCTCTGAATTGGTGCTTATACTGTCCTTCCTTCTGGAGGGTGACTACTTTGTTCCCCATGGTCCCTGTGTGTGTTGTAAAGTAGCCACCGCTCCAAACTCACTCCCGTGATGGACTACAATCTTAATAAATATTATTAAACTAAATTAAAACTTGAGCAGTACAGCACTCTGGTTGCATCACCTGCCTCACTATTGCCTGTGATTGGAGGAGGAGGGGGTGGGGTGGTGTTTTTCTTTGAGAAAATACAGGACATTTTGTGAATGGGCAATAATGAGAAGGGGCATGTGATGCGAGTGGAGCGCTGTACTGTCACAAGTCACATTTCTCCCTCTCCTGAGTACCTGGCATGAGTTAGGGAGGGGAACCACACCCTCTTTATTTGTATTATTATTACTTCTGTGAATAGTTAAAGGGGACCTTTACCAATATCTTTAAAATAACAACAAAGACACCTTTAGAAATGTTTAGTAATGACAATCTTCAAACACATACTTCTAGATAATTGCCGGCTTTGTATTCTTTGCATACCTTATTTCTCTTCCCCAGTCTTCTGGCAGTGGCCATGTTTACTAAGGGCAGATTAATAGCTCTCTTTTTACTTCCTGGATTTCCGGCACACTGACAAGACATGTAACCATGTACATCATCTCAGGGGAGGAAAATGCCTTTCCCTGAGATCTCGTGAGATTAGAGATGAGATTTCCCAGCAATGCTCTGCTGATGGCAAGGCAATCCCAGTGTGCGTATGTATCCGAATTTCGTTATCAAACATTGGGATACGTTCGGATTTGTTATTTCTGTCATCAGAAATTCGGATGGATCCAAATGTCTAAATTAACATAAATGCGTGCGAATTTCAATTTGGAAGGAAAAGAATCACACATGTTTAGTACCCAGAAGCTCAGCATTATGTGCAGGGGCCGGCATGCTGCAAAGTATGATTTTTATGCTTTGCAGCCTTCTGCACATAACAGCTTTTGAAAGATAATATACTCTCCCAGTGCGGTGAATAAATCATCTAATCACTAGTTGAGAAACCTTCCTCCAAGTAGGCTATCTGTAAAGTCTTGATCAACCAAAGTGTGACTGAACAGGCAAGAAAAGTATTTCTACTAAGTCTTGGCCTAATGGCTTCAGAATATAAATACTTTCTTCCCAGATGAATATTCCAACAATCTAAATTCCTATTGGCTGTTCTATACTTTCCCATTCACTAAGGTGGGGCAATCCACTAAGGCCTCATTCACACAAGAAACGGCTGACACAGCTGCGTGCTGTGTGCACGGCCGTATCGGGCAGCTCCCGGGAAGGACAGGTGCTGCGTGTGATTAGTATGCAGCTCCTGTCCTTCTCTATGGGACTATGCGGCCGTACGCTCACCCCAAGTGCAGGTCCGTACGGGTGCGGGTGTCCCGGCTCGGACGCAGACAGGATCCATCCTGTCAGTGTATGAGTACGGACACCCGCACAGACTTGCAGGGCGGGTGAGCGTAAGGCGGCATACGGCCGCGTAGTCCCATAGAGAAGGACAGGGGCTGCGTACTAATCACATGCAGCACCTGTCCTTCCCGGGAGCTGCCCAATACGGCTGTGTACGCAGCACGGATCTGTACGTGCCGGCCGTTTCTCGCGTGAATGAGGCCTAAGAGTGCAAAGAAATATCCAATCTGATGTCATTAACAATGTTTCCATCCTGATCAATGCACTTTAAAAAGGGTGTTTGTTTGCACTCCCTGAAATCCCAATGCTCTAATCCTGTGTCAAATGTACTGAACACGACCAGAAAACAAGCTTTAATGTCAAGGTTGGGGTGTCAGCCTGCTTTTCATCACTCTTTATCATTGCCTATTACAGCAGATGAAACTGTTATTTTCAAATGGCCAATTCAGCTAAAGTGCCCCAAATTATTGTGTTCAGCAGACTCTTCAAAAAAACAGTTCTCAGATCAGGGGAAGCTCATGTCATCCAGAGCTTGAAGAATAGACATTTACCTCTAGCCGTGTTGTAGTTTGCATCCTGTTAAATGATCTGTTCTGGCTGCTGCTAATGTTTTCTTGTTGAGTGGCTTTGAAACATGCAACTTTATTTGAATTTCTGGCTGGATGATTACGGTGCAGAACGGGAACACTGCAATTAACTTTTTCATTTAGAGAGCAATTCGAGGCAACAATCAGTGAGCTAAAGCTGTCCAGAAAACAAAGCAACTGTGCGCAAGTAAGAAGATTCACGTAGGGACCACTTTATAGGAGTGTGATGATGTGATATTGTAAGCTTTAAACATAAATACAGCTAAAATGCTGCAGGGTTACACTTTTGCTCTGTATATTCTGTAACATTGCTGCTTCTGATTTAAAGAGGCAACATTGCCAGGTATAGGATGCATATGCGATGGGAGACGCAGCACAAGAAGTCATTCAGTTGTGTTGCAAAACAAGTGCCACTACCCCTTTTACTGTCCAGTCCCAGGCTAAGGATAGAAACAAGACCAGTTAGTGTGACTTTAAAGCTGAAATCTAGGTATGCATTATA